ACTCTCCTGTTTGGGCTCTGGCTGACTGTACACACCGCATCTTCCTGAAAAAGTTAAAGTTAAGTCAAGGCCCACGTTCTCGATCCCAAGCCAACAATAAAACAAGAACATGAAAAGAGACCGAGCCCATGTCCCTAACCCAACCCTTTTATGATAAATTCTTTTTCAAAAAACATTTTCCAAAAACTCTTGGATCCTAGTTTAAGACTAGATTCACATAAGTGTTCCTCCAATTCACTCAAACCAGAGCTTTGATACCAACTTGTAACATCCCATTTTCACGGCCAAAATTTTTCATTTTTATTTAAAGTGCAACTTCCCAAGTTATAAAAACCATTTTAAGAAAAACCATTTATTCTCAATTAGAATTAATGAAATCAGAGTATTATGATGAACGCGAAATTCTCAATGTTGTTGATAAGTGTGTACTATCCCGCTTTTACCTTCCCGCAATCACCGATGATACCTGAAACCATAAACAACTGGGTAAGCATAAAGCTTAGTGAGTTTCCCCCAAAATACCCCATATGATAAACATACAAGCATGCATCGGGTCCACTCAACCATCGGGTTGGAATACCCAAGGTTTGTTGGGGGAAACAACAAGCATGCATGCTTGTTGTATACGATACGAGATCAGATAGACTGTCGAATAACCGACTCTACCCTAAGTCCACAACCAAACAAGGAACATGAAGAAAGGCCAAGTCGATCATTCTAAGGCTATTCAATCTGACCATATACAACTAATCAACATACATGCAACAATCTCACAATCAAGGCAAGCAACTTCCTATATCATAAGGCAAGCAACTTCCTATAGCATAAGGCATCACAGAATCATGCATTTATATCCAATAGTTTTTAAAGAACCTTATCCACTAGTATATTTTTTCTAACAATTCATATATCTATAAAATCAAAACTCAACATACATAACAAGTATGGGTGTTTTGGGAACCACTTTCTTGTTTGGGCTCTGGCTGACTGTACACACCGCATCTTCCTGAAAAAGTCAAAGTTAAGTCAAGGCTTACGTTCCCGATCCCAAGCCAACAATCAAATAAGATCATGACAAGAGACCGAGCCCATGTACCTAACCCAACCCTTTTATTATAAATTCTTTTTCAAAAAACATTTTGCAATAACTCTTGGATCCTAGTTTAAGACTGGATTCACACAAGTGTTCCTCCAATTCACTCAAACCAAAGCTCTGATACCAACTTGTAACATCCCATTTTCACAGCCACAAATTTTCATTTTTATTTAAAGTGTAACTTATCAAGTTATAAAAACCATTTTAAGAAAAACCATTTATTCTCAATTAGAATTAATGAAATCAGAGTATTATGATGAATGTGAAATTCCCAATGCTGCTGATGAGTGTGTACTATCCTGCTTTTGCCTTCCCGCAATCACCGATGATACCTGAAACCATAAACAACTGGGTAAGCATAAAGCTTAGTGAGTATCCCCCAAAATACCCCATATGATAAACATACAAGCATGCATCGGGTCCACTCAACCATCGGGTTGGAATACCCAAGGTTTGTTGGGGGAAACAACAAGCATGCATGCTTGTTATACACAATACGAGATCAGATAGACTGTCGAATAACCGACTCTACCCTAAGTCCACAACCAAACAAGGAACAAGAAGAAATGCCAAGTCGATCATTCTAAGGCTATTCAATCCGACCATATACAACTAATCAACATACATGCAACAATCTCACAATCAAGGCAAGCAGCTTCCTATATCATAAGGCAAGCAACTTCCTATATCATAAGGCATCACAGAATCATGCATTTATATCCAACGGTTTCTAAAGAACCTTATCCACTAGCATGTTTTTTTCTAATAATTCATATATCTATAAATCAAAAATCAACATACATAACAAGTATGGGTGTTTTGGAAACCACTCTCCTGTTTGGGCTCTGGCTGACTGTACACACCGCATCTTCCTAAAAAAGTCAAAGTTAAGTCAAGGCCCAGGTTTCCGATCCCAAGCCAACAATCAAACAAGAACATGACAAGAGACCGAGCCCATGTCCCTAACCCAACCCTTTTATTATAAATTGTTTTTCAAAAAACATTTTGCTATAACTCTTGGATCCTAGTTTAAGACTGGATTCACATAAGTGTTTCTCCAATTCACTCAAACCAGAGCTCTGATACCAACTTGTAACATCCAATTTTCACGGCCAAAAATTTTCATTTTTATTTAAAGTGTAACTTCTCAAGTTATAAAAACCATTTATTCTCAATTAGAATTAATGAAATCAGAGTATTATGATGAATGCGAAATTCCCAATGCTGCTGATGAGTGTGTACTATCCTGCTTTTGCCTTCCCATAATCACCGATGATACTTGAAACCATAAACAACTGGGTAAGCATAAAGCTTAGTGAGTTTCCCCAAAAATACCCCATATGATAAACATACAAGCATGCATCGGGTTAACTCAACCATCAGGTTGGAATACCCAAGGTTTGTTGGCCTACCGCCTCAACTCAACCGCTCTTCCAGAGCCTCTGTGCCTACGGCCTACAGCCGGCCCGCACCGGGTATCTTGGCCTACAACACAAAATAGGATCGCCTCAACCCACCACTACCATATCTCGACATATAAACAAACAAGGGTCAAGTAGGCACATAATACAGACAAACAACAATCATACAACTCACTACCGCCTACTAGTCCTCTCATCGCATACAGTCCTGCTACCAGCTATCCTCCATGAAATGCGTAATCATAAGTAACCAGATGTGAGATAGCCACCCGAGTAGATGATCCTACTCTAGAGCCACAAACAAATAAGGAACATAGAAGAAAGCCTAGATCAAGAGTTCTCAGGCTATCCTACGTGACTAAAGATAGTCCTTAGGGCACTCCACCAGATGATAACCGGTAAGCGCAAATAACATACAGATCCAACAAATCACTACAACAACGCAACATACTCGATATTAGGATACATATCTAACAGATCACTACACCAGAGTATCGTACTCGATACCAGAATACAGATCTAATAGATCCCTACAACATAACTACATACTAAGTATCAACAATCCAAGGAATGCATGACCGTATATATATTCAGAGATGAGATAGCGACCCGGACAGGTGGTTTTACTCTAGAACCACAACCAAACAAGGAACAGGTAGGAAAGCCTAGACCAAAAGTCCTCAGTCTATCATATATGACTATATAGTCCCTAAGGTATCCTTCTACTAACAGATAACCAAAACTAGTGGGCCGACATTGGCGCCTTCGACCCACGATACAGTGAGGCGAAACTCACCTGAAATGAAGAAACCCGAGAACACCGTCATACGCTCCCTGCTACATTGCTTTCTCCCGCGGATCAACTAACATCAGAACCAATAAAATATTAATCACAATCAAAACCCTCAAGTTTGACCAAAAGTCAAACTTGGTTAAAAAGTCAACGGTCAACGGAGTCAACAAAAGTCAAAATCCAAGGCTGGTTGAGTACGCCCCTCTACAGGTCACCTATTCAACAGATAGAGACCAAGGCTTAACTATGGCTCAAAATACCCAAAACACCCTTAAGTCAAACTTGATCAACCTTGGTCAAAGGCAAAGTCAAGAAAAGTCAACCCAGATCGAGTACGCCCCGCGTACTCGCGATCCAGATCGGGCTCCCTTAGGCGTACGCCCGATGTACGACAAGTTGCGCCCAACGTATGCAATGGCTTAATAACTTCATTTTGAGGGCTTAATTCCTTAAGTCACCACGTCAAACTTTCAGTCTTATCCCCAAATGGCATCCCAAACCATAAAGTTTCAAACTTTATGGTTCTACATGTCTAGATCAAGCCCAACAACAAAACCCTAGCTTGTCTTAACCACTAAAGTTCTTAATGGATTGCATGAAGGAATCTCAGGGGCCAAGATTATATTTTTATGACTCATGACATGGAAATACGTCCAAAAGGATAGCTTAAACGCTCTATAACATGTCATGCACAAGGACATATTTGGGGACAAAAAGCTCATATATCACCATGCAAGCTAGATCTAGTAACTTAATCACCATGGTGGGAACTTTTTACCTTCTGGAGATGGAGAATGATGCAAAACTTCCAGATCCAAGCTTGCTTATAGCTTCAAAGGTTCACCACCACCTTCTTCCTCCTTTGGAACACACAAAATACACTAAAGGTCTCAAAATACACTAAAGGGGGATAGGGTTTGCTAAGGAACGTCTCAAATGATGAAGGTTGGGAATGGGGTGGAGAAATGGGACTTAAGGATCAATAAATATGGTCCAAATCCTCAATATTAGGGTTTTCGTTCAGACAGAGTACGCCCAACTTACTTTGGGAGTACGCCCAACGTACTCAAAACGACGTCGTTCCATTAAAAGGCCTTACGCCCAACGTACGTGTGATTCGCCCAAAAATTACAACAATGCTACTATGGGCCATTTTGCAAACAAAACTCATTCCAAGTGTCAAAATGTAATATTTGAAAATAGAGTTACTACAGCAAAAAAAAAAAAAAAAAAAACGGTTTCACTTCAAACTACTAGTAATTATATATAAACTTAAAAGTGGGGAGCCTTGTCTACAGTACTTTTTTGGGTTTTTTTACTTTCGCCACTTTATTTCCATCATGTTGCCTTCCTTTGACTCAAAGTTACGTTTCTTTATTAGCCGACCTTCTTTCTTTTCCCTTTTACTCATCTTTTGCTCCAGGGTATTTTTTTGGGTTTTTTTACTTTGACCACTTTATTTCCATCATATTCCCTTGCTTTGACTCAAACTTACGTTTCTTTTTCTTTTTCTTCCTTGAATATATTAGCCGACCTTCTTTCTTTTCCCTTTTCCTCATCTTTTGCTCCAGGTAATTTACTTCTGCTTCTCCATTTCCCGGTTTTTGGTATTTCATCTGTTAGGGTTTTTGTTTGCTTCCCTTCACTGCGGTTCATTATCTTTTGTTGTTTCTTTCGTTTCTTGGTTCATATGCGTAAGGGTCAGAAGCGTAGCATTATTGAGTCTGGGGAGTGCTCTGTGTCTGCTACTCCTGTTATGCGTACAAGTAAACGGTCCCGACTTATTTCTTATGGTGGTCTTCCTACATACTATGACTGTGGTGATTGTGTTTGTGTTTGTGAATTTTGTGGAGCTCTTTTCTGGTATGTGGAAAGACTTAGAAATCGTTATGAAACCAATCATCCTAAGATTTACTTCTGCTTCTCCTTTTCCCGGTTTTTCTGTTAGGGTTTTTGTTTGCTTCCCTTCACTGCGGTTCATTATCTTTTGCTGTTTCTTTCGTTTCTTGGTTCATATGCGTAAGGGTCAGAAGCGTAGCATTATTGAGTCTGGGGAGTGCTCTGTGTCTGCTACTCCTGTTATGCGTACAAGTAAACGGTCCCGACTTATTTCTTATGGTGGTCTTCCTACATACTATGACTGTGGTGATTGTGTTTGTGTTTGTGAATTTTGTGGAGCTCTTTTCTGGTATGTGGAAAGACTTAGAAATCGTTATGAAACCAATCATCCTAAGTATAATCACTGTTGTAAGGGGGTTCTGTTGTTTTGCCTCTTCCGTTAACGCCTCCTTTTGAAATTTCTAAACTTTATGAAGATATTCAGTTTTTTTACTGATATAAGAGGTTATAATAGTATGTTTTCCATGACATCTTTTGGAGCTGTTGTTGATAAGGATATTAATAATGGTCGCGACCCTTATGTTTTTAAGGTTTCAGGTCAGGTTTATCACTGGATAGGGTCTTTATGTCCTGATGATTCTAAAGGTCCAAGATTTTTGCAGTTGTATGTTGTTGATACTGCTAATGAGGTTTCCAATCGATTAAAGGCCTTTCATGATCCTGCTAGGAAAGATTTGGATGCTGGTATTGTGCGTGTTCTGATGGAATCCCTTTCTAATCACAATCAATATGTTAAGACATTTAAAACAGCTAAGGAGATGGCTGAGGTTATGAATCTGGAGTCTTATGCAGTTCGTTTATATAATAACGTTCCTGATCGTAGATACAGTTCACCAGCTCCTGGCACTTTAGGTTGTATTGTTACTGGTGATGATAGTAATTCAGCCAACTATGATATTATTGTTCACTCTAAATCTGGTCGTCCTCAACGAGTGAGTAAACTACATCCCAGTTATATGCCATTACAATATCCCTTGCTGTTTCCGTTTGGTGAGGACGGCTGGTGTCCACGTTTGAAATTACGGGGTGATGCAGTTGCGCGTATTAGAAACCTAACAATAAACATGTATTATAGTTATCAGATTCATGCGCGTCGGGATATATACTCTCTTATCCTTAACTCGGGTTGACTTTTCCAGCAGTACTTGGTTGATGCTTATACCTGTATTGAAGTAGATCGTTTATACTTTATTTTGAATAACCAGGAACATTTAAGGTCTGACTATCTATCTGGTCTTTATGATGCTCTGTCTAAAGGGGATAGAGAGAATAAATTTGTTGGTAAACGGGTTTTCTTACCTGCATCGTTTATTGGTGGCCCCCGTTATATGTATAGTCATTATCAGGATGCATTGTCGATATGTAGAGTATATGGAAATCCACAATACTTTATTACATTTACATGTAATGTAAAGTGGCCGGAAATAACACGGTATATGGAAACTTATAGTCAACGTGATGTTCATAATAGAGCTGATGTGATAGCTAGAGTTTTTGAAATAAAAGTCAAGGCCTTCATTTCATTTCTTAAAGAGGACAAAACTTTTGGCAAAGTTGAAGCACGTAAGTGTGTTCTTTTTTTTTTTTTTTTTTTACTTCTATTTTGTGTTTATGATTTTTAATTATTTATATTTTTTTATATATTTCAGATTTGTATACTATAGAATTTCAAAAAAGAGGTTTACCGCATTGCCACAAGCTTTTATGGGTATCCAAATCAGATAGTATTCGGCAGCCTGCTGACATTGATAACTTTATAGGTGCAGAACTTCCAGATCCTGTCTTGGAAGCGTCCCTCTATCACACGGTAACGACGTGTATGATTCATGGCCCATGTGGTCCACTGAATTATAAGGCTCCTTGTATGAAGGATGGGAAATGTAGTAAGCACTTTCCTAAACCTTTTCATGATGCTACAAGTTTTGATAAAGAAGGGTACGCACACTACAAAAGGAACTCAATTGCACATCACATAATGCAAAGTGGCACTATGATTGATAATGGATATTTAGTACCATACAACAAGAGATTGTGTAGTCGGTTTAATGCACACATAAATGTTGAGTATTGTGGATGGAATATGATGATCAAATATCTGTTTAAATATATTTCAAAAGGAGTTGAACGTGTTAGGTTCGTTGTTCAGAAAAGTGAGGCAGCTGTTACTGGTACTTCTGATTCACAAGTCGCACTTGTAGATGAGGTTCATAATTTCTTGGATGCACGTTACATTTGCCCACATGAAGCTGCATGGAGAATATTAAACTTTTTCATTCATCGACGGCATCCCCCTGTCATGACATTGCCTGTTCACTTACTAAATATGCAGCATGTGGTATTCAAGGAAAGTGGTAGAGTAGAGGATGTTCTTCGTATTCCTGATTTTGCTAAGACACCACTACTTGGATGGTTTGATAATAATATAACAGATCCAAAGGGTCGTGATCTTACTTATATTGACTACCCCAACAGATATACATGGGATCCTCAATTTAAAAAATGGGAACAAAGAGTTTTGGAATCTTCAAAAACTATAGGTAGACTTGTATTTGTACATCCATCTTCAGGAGAGTTATTCTATTTTCGTATGTTGCTCTGTCATCAGATGGGATGTCAGTCTTATGAAGATGTTCGTACAGTCTCTGGTCATCTTCATCCAACTTTTCGAAGTGCATGTAATGCATTAGGTTTGATAGGTGAAGACATGGAATGGTTAACGACTTTTGGAGAGGCTTCATTATGAGCTACTTCTTCATAATTACGTTCTCTTTTCTGCCATTTGCTGCTGTTTTGTGAAGTAAGTAATCCACAACTACTTTGGGAAAATGCATGGCGCAAAATGATGGACGACTACATGTTGAAATTAAAAGTTGACTTCCCAGATAAAGTGTATCACATAGCTGATGATGTAGTACAACAACAGCTGCTTTTTGAGTTGGAGAACATGCTTAGGTCTTCTACACCTTCAAAATCATTAGGTGATTTCCATTTACCCATGCCAAATCCAGCTGCTGTTGCTATCCTACAGAACCGACTTTTGTTAGAAGAATCAAGTTATGACAAGGAATCTTTGCAGCAACAACATTCACAAATGGTTTTACAACTGAATGAAGATCAAATGTATGTTTATAACACTGTTGTGGTATCTGAACAAAATAAAAAGCAGGTGTTACTTTTTGTGTATGGTCATGGTGGGACAGGGAAAACATTTTTGTGGACTACTTTGCTTGCATATTTCCGGTCTATTGGGAAAATTGTACTTGTGGTTGCTGCTTCTGGGATTGCGTCCCTTCTTTTACCTTCCGGAAGAACTACGCATTCAAGGTTTAATATCCCCATTGACCTGGCTGAAAAAACCTCCTGTAACATAAAAAAAAGAACAATACTTGCAGATCTACTAAAACAGACATCACTCATTATATGGGATGAAGCACCTATGAATGATCGACGTTGTTTTGAATATCTTGATCGCTCTCTTAGAGATGTTCTGGATTGTGAAAACCGGCCTTTTGGTGGTATTTCTGTCCTCCTTGGCGGAGACTTCCGTCAGACACTTCCAGTTTCCCCAAAAAGTACTCGGACTCACATCATTGCATTAACTCTTCCAAATTCGTATTTGTGGTCGTGTTTTAAGATTTGTAAATTGCATCAGAACATGAGTTTAGCAGCTCGTGAAACTGATGTAACTAACGGCTTATCTATATCCGCTTTTGCAGAATGGTTACTTAATATTGGAAATGGGACTTTAGGAATTCCCGCTACAGATGATCCACATAGTACAAGCTGGGTAGAAATACCAGATTCACTTTTGATACCTCAAGATAGTGACTCTTTAAAAACATTAATACTCTTTGTATATGGAAATGATCTGCTGCACAATCCATCCCCATCTGATTTGTCTGTAAGAGCTATTTTCTGTCCCACAAATGAGACTGCCGATGCCTTAAATACAACAGTTCTAGAAATGATGACGACCCAAGAAAGGGTTTATAAAAGCACAGACACTATGCAACCAAATGGCAAGTATACATCAGAGTTGGAAGGTTTATATCCAACTGAATATCTAAACCAGTTAACTTTTGCAGGGATCCCACCTCACGCCCTCAGGCTGAAAGTAAAAGCTCTTGTAATGTTATTAAGAAACATTAACCAGAGGGAAGGTTTGTGTAATGGTACACGGTTAATTGTTTCACAACTACTTCCAACTGTAGTAGAAGCAATAATAATAACAGGAACATGCATTGGCAAGCGTGTATACATACCCCGCATAAAATTCATTCACAAACCTCCTGACTTACCATTTGCCTTTGAATGCAAACAGTTCCCCATTAAAATTTGTTATGTCATGACGATAATAAAAGTCAGGGTCAGTCATTAAAGAAAATTGGTATTTATTTGCCACAGCCTGTATTCACACATGGTCAACTGTACGTTGCATTATCAAGAGCAACATCTCCCTCTTCACTAAAAATTATGATAAACAATGATGAAAATACATGCCAGAATCAGACAAAAAACGTTGTATTTAAAGAATTTTTATCCAGAGTTAACAGTAATGAGGTTCATAACATCATTACTAATTATTATTTGTGTATTATAATTATTTTATATAATAAACAACTAATGGTTTGTTGTTTTATTTGACAGCATTATGACTAACATATCTGACTTAAAGTATGCATGCGAAGGAGGTCCATTACAGGTGCGGATCTTGCGAAAATGGAAATCAGACTACCGTCGGTATGAAACATGGTATCTTGCTGTAGACAGATATATGAGTACACACAAATTCACATAAAAACAATACACTAAAATTATTTACTGTTACTAAGATGTACCCACATTTTAATGCGTTAGGGAGATGCAATACCCGATTTTGGGACAAAGAAGCAACCAAGGATACATTGAATCAGTTCTTCATATTCACAACTGCTATACAATATCAAAATATACATGTCCCTATCTAGCAGAGTATCAGAAAATTCTAGAAAATGAAATCTATATTGATGTTGGCCTTGCGTCTGTAATTGTTCCCTTTCCTGACACTATTACAATCCCCACAACCTGGTTTCGATTTGTTTCTAAAAATGATCTGATTGACCTAGGTGAAAACCCTCCATATTATCCAGGTATTTATAGAAAAGATGTTATATTAATATAGACGTTATTTGTAACCAAAATTTATTTTAAACAACAGATTTCATTGGTGTGCTAAAAAAAATCAGAAATTGCATAAAGGCTGATAGAGAGGAATTCATTCTTGTAATTCTTGCAGATGAAAGGTACATAATATATACTTATACATCATTAATCGTTTCTTAAATTATTTTTACTGGTTCTAATGGTTCCCTTATACATAAAACTCAGTGGTGATGAAACAACAATCAGTTTATGGAAAGAATGTATTAATGTTCCTGAAAAATTAAAACGTGAACAGTTGGCACCTCCTCCTGCAACAACAATTGTTGCAATTACAAATATAAAGAGTTCAATAATTGCTGGTAACAATAACCAAACAGTATTTGCAGTTTAATAACAATTATATAAATAATTACATTATCCTCTTTAAAACTATTGACATACATTGTTCACACATTTTACAGGAACTCTAAGATTTGGATCATCACCTGCCACACACGTCTATGTTAATCCACCAATACAGGAGACAACACTTTTAATCGACAGGTCCATTATGGTTATTAAAAAATATTTAGTAAATGTTAATAAAAAATTTACTTCCAAAATCTGACTGCAGGTTTACTGGTCCTACACCACCAACTCCGACACTCTCCGGACCACTGATAACAGTGCATGAATTGATTAATAAAAATCATAACGACCTACTGGTAGGTTATATACTTCAATAACAACTTCCTAACACATGATTAACACAGTTATAACACTATGATGATCTAAAACCGTAGGATAAAACATTCTGTGTAAAAGGCGTGTTGTCAAAAATCACATTCAAAGATTACTGGTTCCAAGTATTGTGCCCAACATGCAAGGATCCAATTTTCAGGAAAGGCAACTACTGGTTTTGTAGTGCTCATGGAAAAACAGAGTTGCCTACTTTCCTGTAAGTATGATTATAATAAAAGAATTATAATGACTAAACAACCAATCTGCATTCACTCTTACTAATATAGCTTACCTCTATACAGGTACAAAATAGTTATAGATCTAACGGATCCAACAGGCTCCATATCTGCCCTAATGACTGATGCCTCAGCCCGAAAACTAATTGGCAGTCCACCGGAAAAAATAATAACCGATGACCATGTAAGTGATAGAAAGTTCTTGCCACCAATGATCATGAATCACAAAGACACATCAAAAATTATGTCAATTCAAATGTTAAGAGGATCTACCACCAAAAACATCCGTTTTATAATTGTTGATGTGCATGAAATCACCGCACCAAATAAGACACTTACACCAGTTACACCAACACAAATTTTGGCACCTACAAACACAGCAACACCACTCAGTCCAATACAGCTTCCACAATCTTCAAATGTTCAGATCAATCCTAACCTCGAAACAACTTCCACAACCTCTGAAACACCACATGCAGCAAGGAAACTATCATATGACACTACCGGTACTTACATATACATTCTATTCACATAAGAAAATAAAATAAAAAAAGGCAACTAACTCTCCTTTTATTCATATACAGCTGAATCTGCACCAAAAAAACAACAAAAGCGAGGACGTAGAGTGCAGTAAACAGTAACGTAATCCAATGATCATTCCGACTTTTTTTTTGTTATTTGCACTGTAGTACAATAGAATAAGTAATACATATTTTGCATGAAAACAGTAACAGAAAAACACAGGTAAAATCTTTTGTGCTATATTATTAGTATATGATGAGAATAGCAGTTATATAAAATGAATTACTATAAAAAAATTGCTGTCTCTGTAAATTTCAGTATTATAATAAAACGGTCATACATATATTATATTAAAATAGGTTAATCCTTATTAATAAAAGTATTTGTCATTAGTAAAATGCAATAATATGAAACCAACAACAAAAAACCATGACTAAAATGTTTTGTACTATATTAGTATATCGTGATGATAATTAATAAGACTTATATAAGATACAATAATATTATACAATATTAAAATGAGTTAACAGTTGTTGAACCTATAAATTATATACAATGAAAAAAATTACTTTACTTATAACTCATATTTTTCTTTAAAAAGTTATTTTTAAGCAGTCGTATTAATAAAAGTATTTGTCATCAGCTCATAATTCTTTTATAAAATAAAAATCATGACAAGGACATTTAGATCATTATATGTTCCAATAAAATAATATATGCATCCTTTACGAAAAATATTACAATACTGTATAATTAAATAACCACTGTTATAATTAAGTGTTAATATGTATACTATTCAAATACATAACATTACATATCAATATAAAAAGTTCCCTATATAGTATTTTTTTTAATAGATATTTAATCATGAATTCCGATAAGATTAAATTTCCTTTTACATACACCAGAAGGTAATTGATCTTTGTAACCTATACATCCTAGATAGCCATAGTATCGCCACCAAACTGTCACTTTAATCACACACGTCATTACCACAGTCTTAATAATGTGTCAACGCTTCAATAACCAAAACTGACACCATTAAATTCAAATTTCAAATACAAAAAGTACTTATAACGAAATTAGATAACAAATAAATAAAAAAACAAACAACATGTTTTTATACGTCTTTATCACTTAATATCAAAATCTAATTAAATAATAAACTGTTTCTTCAATCCTTTTAATAGACTTACAATGAAAGTAATGAAAGTTGGATGGTTATTAAAAATAACATAAAAAAAACAAGAAAAAAACCTTTTCTAATATGCGTTCATCGTTTCATATCCTATATACTCACCTAAAATAGATATAGTATTGCCACGAAATTGTTAATTGAAGCATACATGTCATAACACTGATGTGACTATGAGACTACATATCATGCCACGAATTACAAAAGCACAGTAAAACTCCATATGAATCACTTATATAAGAACCAAAGCATGACTTGACATACACACAGTAAAACATATACTACACTACACAAATATGAAAGACGTCCAAGTTCGAGAAATTTTACAACAACTGATTACCCATCTACGAGAGGTCAGTGACATGATGGAGGCGGTTCAAATAACAATTGAAGAAGGAGCCAAAATCCATGACGATTTTAACAACAATCTCTCTATAGAAGAAAATAGTAGCAATTACAAAATCATAAAAGACCTTCTTGAAGATGCAAATACCGAAAACCTATCCATGCAAGACAATACATCATTTATGCTGGGGTCAATTCACAAACGAATTGGCAAATACAAGCAGTTGATGAAGAAGTTCACAGATGTCTAAGTCTTTCGTTTTTACCTATAAGCGCATGTAATATATAGTAAATAATAAAAAGTTGCTTAAAGAAACGCCACCCTAAAAGCATAGACCTGCCTCATTAACTTTTGTGAACCACCATATCAAACCCGAAGATCATTCAAACGTCAGAAATTGAAATAAACATAAACAAGATTTAAATGTTATCATTACCTCTCTAACCTACCACGTAAAATTAAACGACCATAAATTAGAATAAGCCTTCATTCCAAATCGTCAGACTAACACACAAATAACTACACTCATACACAAAAAAAAAAATTCAGATGCTAGAAGCAGCTTTAAATAGCATCAACACCAAAGACAGCTGAATGTTTCTATGTAATTATTCCTGATCATAAATAAGTTGGTAGTATATATGTTTTGTTTCTTCTTTACGTTCTATTATTAACATAACAATACAACAAAATTAGAAAAAAAATTTATGATACCAATTGACCCCCGCAGAGTGGGGGCAACCCTTCCCTAGTTAAGACTAAAAGTAAGGAAGTCTTTTTCTTGACTTGGCATGCCTTCATTATACCTACCCCTTTTTAACGCAGACATGTTTGACACCGAGTGTTTGGAAGCTTCTAGGTTCTAATGTTTGCCAAAACGCTATGTTTTGAACAAAAAGCCTCGGTTGACATTACAGACTTTTAGCGTTTAGTTTAAACAAAACGCTCCAAATCTAAAAGCTATCTCGCGTAGTGTTTAACAAAATGCTACCAGCTATTGGCTATCAGCTAGTTTTGCGGAAAACACCCTCAAATGTTGAGGTCTCTCGCATGTCTATCTGAGCAGTCTTGTGAGGAGGTTCAAGGGTCAAGTCCCTCTTTCCGCTCCCGGTTTTGTCGTTTGGTGGTAACAAATGTGTGCTCCTTTAGAGACTGGGGTGAGCAACAAGCACCTTGTATAATAAGGTTCCTAATAAGAAGAAAGGGGCAAACCAAAACCTAGTCCCAACAATCTTTCTTAATTTTTTTAACTAATTAATTTAAAACATTGAATATACAAACTACAAATCAATTTTATCACTAAATATTTGACAAAATTAAAATAAATATCAAACAGAAAACGAAATATCATATAAAGTTGCTTCATAAAACATTTTAAATGTTTAAATATTATAAGAAACTTAAATGCTCATGCATTGGAAAAGATTTGTAAACATAACTTTTTTTGTTGATGTAAATAAACTTTTCTATAAGAAAGGGCTTAACCATTATGGATGGTGTAAGTGAAAATACAATACAATTTGCAAGGCCATATAGATGCTCTTGAAATCATCCACACCTCAATTATTAATGTTTTATAATCTATAAAAAGGTTAATTTGCAATATACCATGAATTAGTTTTCCTAATCATCATTATTGAAAATAGCCAACAAAACTCGTCGAGTCCGGTCTAAATGCATCCTAATAAATTCATCGATTGGATTCAAATATCATGACATCACAATATTGATCGAATAAACTCATCGAAACGTGAAAGTGATTTTCATATGCAAAATACACATAAGAAATAGACAATGGAGCGATTCCACTACAATCTATGTATCAATTTATATATATTTCGAGTATAAACATCATATGGTCTATAAATACATGTTTCCTTCACATCTCAGCAGCAAATGATTTTCCACAACCACATGTTTGTGTAGCATTCGGGTTTTTAAATGAAAAGCCTCCTCCAATAAGTGCATCACTAAAGTCAAGTTGCATCCCGAATATGAAGAGAAGACTCTTCGGATCACAAACTGCACACAAGTTCACAAAAACAAAATCAACATCTAGAAATCAACCAATTAGTTAAATGTGAATTTATGCAAATAATATTTCACTCTTTATATCATTCAAAAGTGCTTTGTATTAAGAAGAAATGAAAGTAGGATGCTATAAGCCTATAATACGAAAATAAATGCTTGTATTTTTTTTTTTTTTTGCTTTTAATCTTAGAATAAAAAAAGTATACCAATGACAAAACCGTTGTATTCCATAACAGTGTCATCTGGTCTTGCGTTTTCCCTGCTCTCAAATTCCATGGTGTAAGACATGCCTGAGCATCCACCTTGTTTAACACCAATTCTCAAACATAAATCATCATTCTTTTCAGACCTCATTTTGTTTAAATGCTTCAATGCATTATCTGTCAAATCAATTGCAGGTGCTATTCCTCCAGATGTAGGTGCTGCTACAAATATACAATATGCATCCACAATTTTAGACATAAATATGTTATCATAAATGCAAAATGCATTAAACATATGATATCACCGCCTTTATGAATTACATTTATGCTAAGAGAATCAGGAATTTGTAAAGATCACAATTTGCTTAAAAAGTCTAAAAGAATCAGGATTAGTTTCTAAAGATGTAATATTAGCCCATTTGACCCCAAAACTTTAAATCATATCTCTGTTTTCTTCCTTTTTATTTTTATTGGATTTGAGCAAGTATCTACTAATTAATAAATAGTTACTCAAATCCTAACACGATAGCTAACTGTTCCATATACCCTTCTGTACTCAAGTCTTCTACCCAATACTCTAAATCACCATATCTACTCAAGACTAAGTTTGATGCTATCCTTTCTGTGTCCAATTTACTCAAGCTTCCATGAAACCTACTCCCACACTTGCCACAATTTGTCTTTACAGAACAAACTATGAGTTGAGGCATATTCTCTCAGAAATATCGTAAGTTTGAGGGTAAGATTGGTGGAAGAGTTACTGCTATTAGAGACTAAACCGACTGAATTCCTTCAAACCCTAAAACCCAGAGAAATAAAGAAAACAAACCCCCAATAATTCCAAATTTCTACAAATGTAACCTAAGAAGATACATTAAAGTGAAATCAGGTACTATAATCACAATCAAGGCAGTAAAATCGTGAATAAACGAGGTGAAGATACATAATCATTAACCAGAGAAGATGTAACGAAGCAACAGAGAACCAATACCTTGTGTTGAAATCGCGCGAATTGAGAAATTCTTTCTCACAATATTTAGATTAATATGAGAAGGAGAAGATCGAATGGAAATCGAAGCGGACGGAATTAATGGTGAAGAAGAGGTAGATGCTTTCGACAGACGGCAGAGGGAGGGGAAATGCACCGTTGAAGAGAACGCCATTGAAACCCGACGAAATGGGACTCTTTGTGAAATTTACACACCACAATTAAAATTCTTGTAATTGATAAAAGGGGAGTCCGAGACTCCGAGGTGTTAACGCTCAATATTGATTAATGCATTTTACACACCATAACTAGGAACTTTGATAATATGATCCTCTATTTTTTTTTGTTATGTCTTTAGTTTTCTAGACCCTAGAAATTGTCAATTTTCTTCAAAAAATCTCATGTAAAACATTAAAGAAAAAGTTATTCAATATAAAATCGAATCTCAAAAATTTATTCGAAGCCACATAGAGCATCACAGCTTCGTACATTCGCCTCCGGTTATGCAACGTAGTGTGACATTTGTATGTTAGTTGATATTGTCATATCTATACATATATTTTGGCATTATTTTAATACATTTTAAGTTATATTTTGGTTAATTGTAAAGATATTCGATACTTATTGAGTTCAAATTACATTTTGCAGCCAAATAGGACATTCTTGAGGAAAACTTGCCAGAAGTGAAGAATATTGAAACCTAGAAGGACTGGAGCTGAATTGGGAGCTTAATAGAGTTTAAAAGGAAGAAGAATTTAGCAAGGACATTCCCCACGATGTGACAATGAAGTAACACGGCGTGGTTATTAGGAAATCCTCGATAGTTTACGTATGAAGGGAACTCACGACGTGAGAAGTCAAATGTTCTAGTAGATATATACACGGAATCCAAATTCCTTGCCGAACACAAATTCAATATTCCTCACAACATGAGATCCTAATTCTCACGACGTGAGGGACGTTTTTAAGGAATCTATATATAACCTTTGCCATATTCGATTTTGGGAGAGTTGGAGTAATTATTCTGAAGAGTTAGTCGAAATCAGAAGCCAAAAATCTGTGAGATTCAACTGTTGGAGAAAGAATTCAATTGAAGTTAAGAAGATTTGAAGATCCAATCAAGATAACACATTACACATTCGGTTTGATCATGTTTAGCTTTATTCCTATTGTGTTCTTGTGTTTGATTACTGACATGACTAACTAATTTAGTAGACTTTCGTTTAGTTAGATGAAACCTAAAACTATGAGTTAGTTCCTTACTTTTATGGATTGTATGAAGTTTGATTAAGCTTGTGTTTGATTTTTGATACCTAGCATGATAAAGTTTTAATCTTTGTTGCTTATATTCAGGTTAAGTGTAATTGAATGATCAATTTATATTGCATGAACTTGATTACCCAGTAGTTTAGGAACATTAAGTTGCTAGAGCTAGGATTCACCAAATCTTAGATTAGGTAATAAAGACATCAACTTTATCTGTGTTAGAGAACATAATTTGATCATAATTGTGTTTAGATAAATTTACATAGCTCACTAATTCTTAATAGTCAATTATGTGTTTGCTTGTTTATGATCATTACATAGTAGTTCATGAATTGATAAAAATATTAGGAGATCTAATCAAGATTGCTAATAATATCTATTGTAGTAACTAACTTTAGTAATCCATAAATAAGAATTAACCATATGAAAAATGTGGATTCAAAACTAAACGAAAGTGCTTTTAATATCTTGATAACATCCGTTCCTAGTTAAGTGTTTGTTTAGTTATAAGTTTATCTGAACTTGCAAAATCAGATAAAACCCCTTCTTTATTTTTAGATTAATTTTTGGTAATTATTTAGTATATTGAATTTGTTCACTGTGTTCGATACCCAACTTACTTTACTATACTATAAACTGACTAGGTACACTACATATAGCTGCATTAGTAGATAAGTAGTTAGGTCTATAAATTTAAAGTCAAATAGGTATAATATGTGCACATCATTAGTCACTTTTTGATTTTGTACATTTAGTTTTTTTGGAAATGGAATTCCATAATGAGGTTTTTCGGACCAGTTTTCGCGCACCGACCCCGCTGCGAATATGAGGCTTGCAGACGAACCTTCATGGCCACATGAGCTGAGTAGTGTCAAGATTTGAACATGAGTCAGTATGTTATTCACCATATATTCCACATACATGTTAATGATGATCAAGGTTCTTTTTCTGCTTAAAATGTTTTCTCCTTAATTATTGTGGTTTACATCTGCAAGAATTTTTGTTACTGCTTAAATAATTAAAGTTGATTTTGTCGTTAAGACTGATGTCTTAATTGATATCATTTATAAACAATATTGCAATAACAAAAACTTGCAAGCAAATTTAAAGACTTATCTTACTGTCACGATGTTGCAAAATATAAAACAATTATATGTAAGATTTCGATATTGACAACTTTGCTATAAATTGTTTCTTCCAACAATCATTGAGCCATTCTAGATATCATACCACCTCGTTTGAGTGCCAATGTCATTTATAAGGTTAATTAGGTACAAAACAACCTAATAATGATTTACGAATGAGTGTTAATAAGAAGTTCAATCCATAATTAGTTTGAAATTTAAGCTAAAGTTGCTAAAACTTGGGTTCATAACCATTTATGTAAATATACCAACCCGAAATCAATTATGTTACTCTTAGGGGCTCATTTGATATTGTTTCCACGTGTTCAAATGACATATTTAAGTTGGGTAAAAATACAATATATTTTGATATTTTGATTTAGGAATATTTTGATTTATCTTTTCTAAATCGATTGACGATGACATTTGCAAATTGCAAGCTAACAAATATAAATATACATGTTTAAGTTGGGTAAAAATACAATATATTTCAAAAACAATTTGTAAGTGATACAACAAGGGTAAACCCACACGGACCAATTTTAAAATAAGAGATATTAAAATAAGAGATATTACATACCATCTTATCTTTCTTTCTACTTATTTTCATATCCATATAAAATTGTGATAAGTGTCATATTTTGATAATATTAATAATATTTTAAAACAATTGTCATTATTTCATACAGGTAGGAATATAAGTAAGAATTAAGATATTTAATTTCTCTAAAAATAAACATCAAGCCCACACAATCCGTTTTAAGAGGCAAAACAAGTTGAAAAATATTGGTTTGCACAAACTCTTTTTTTATGGAAATCGAATCGGTTTTAGAACCGGTTCGGTTTGGTTCAACAAAAGTAAAAAACGAATCGGTTTCAAACCGGTTTCCGAGCAAAAATTTCCAAACTTATAGGAACCGGTGAGGATCGGTATAAAACAGCTTTGAAAAAAACCTATTCTTTCGCTAGTTTTTCATATTTTACCGAACTTATTTTCGTTGTCAATTTTAACGAAACTTTAATGCTTGATCATAAACACGCAAATAAATAAAACTAGCCATGAGCTAAGGTATTTTTCGGGCATTCGAGACCATTTAGGGGTCGATATTTTTCAACTTTTAATTGTTAAAAAAAATATTTTCCAGGCATCTAGGTGAAAATCGGTCTTGAGAACATCTAAAACCTTTATATAAACAACAAATTGAATAAATAATGGTTGAAAACAATTTTTTTACTATATGAAAATCGGTTTTTTATAAGTTTGAAAACCAGTTCCATTAGCAAGATATTCAAACCGGTACAAACAGATGGTTCGGTTTGAAACCAGATTCGTTTCAACCAAACCAAATTATAAATCGGATCGGTTTCGGTTTTCAAACCGGCTTCGGATCACGAACCGATTTTTTTGTGCCCCTCTAGCCAAGAGGTGATTAAAAATGAAACATCGATGGCTTACAAGATTAAATTTTGTCCAAGTGAATGAAGTTCATTTGGTAAAAACAACCACCACTTATTAATGAACTAATAATATAATCTACTCACAATGATAACATTATTTATTATTCATTTTTGTGGGTCTTCCACTTATTAATGAACAATGATAACATTATTTATTATTCATTTTTGTGGGTCTTCCACTTATTAATGAACAATGATAACATTATTTATTATTCATTTTTGTGGGTCTTGTCTAGTCATGGGATTCCTAAAACACATTGTACATGATCAAACCGGTAAAAGTAATAGGGTTCGATTCGAGCAAAGGGTTACCTATAGCTAAAAATCTAAAATATACAACCATTCATTCATGTGTTGCTTACACCTATATCATCATTTGTTCTCGAACGACATAAAAGGAACCTAAAACACAAGATTGATCAAAGCAAACTAAATCTTTGCATATTTTCCCTTTATGAAGAGCCTTCTAATACATTGTAGTCACTTTTGTTTAGAATAAATACAATGGCAAATATCAACTAAGTCCTATATAAATCAATTCCAACAGTAAATTCCACTATCTAATATAACAAAAAAAAGGCAAATTGCAGGAATATACGTTACTCCTTTTACCAATATAGGCAACACACTTGTTATTCTTTACCCATAATAGCAATGGACTTTCAATTTTCATATATAATAGCAATTTATAATCTGATAATTGTAAAATGTAATTTACTTTCTACCATAGTAGCAACCTATTTACATTTTTTTTACAAGTAATAGCAATTTTCCCAAAAAAGAATCCCCCACACAATGTTATTCAAAGAATCAAAGTAATTCAAATATCTAACTATTATGAGTAAAGAAATGTAAATACATTGCTATAATGTTTACAGTTTTACATTATTATCTTTTCACTTCAAGAAACAGTTTTGTCATCAGTGTTATCTTCATTTTCACCATATTCAGAATCATCAGGGTCAATATGGTCAAAGAAACCATCTAAATACCATTGACATTTTTCAATAAATCCACCTCTTGGAGAATTTGCACGACATTTTTGATCAGCTATCATTTCAGGAGATAATCCCCATTGTTGCATTTCTTCTTCTGAATGATGAACAGCTAAACTGTATTCACCTCCATCTCCTAATTGCATTACTCTGAACTCACAGTTGTTGAAATTATTTAAGTATTCGAATTGTTCAACAGTCCATTTGAACCATTTCATTAGAAAGACACGTGCAGCAAGTCCATGTGAAACAATTATGATGTTTAAATCATCTGCAGGGTCATGCTGAAACCTGCTGTCGATGTCTCTCCATAAAGATTCAAGAAAACCTGAAAATTTTCCACAATTTTTTTGAAATAATCTATCAAAGGAATCGGAGTGAAGCTTCTACCATTTTCATGACTTAAAACTCTTGACATATGGATCAC